TAGAATGGAAACAATAACACTCAGACATCACAGAGCGCTGACAGGCAAACCAGGGAGCAAGAGACAAAGTGGGAGTAGAAGCAATCTCTTATAACTTTCCAAACTTAAAAAAGAAAGACTGAAGAATTCAGGCCTGAGAAACCGCAGTAATTTCAAAGCGTGAAGGAGAAACACAATCCCCAGGATGGCAGGCTTTAAATTAACAGTCACAGAATGAAACTGTCTCTGCTCAGGGGCTCTTTGAATGTGGCACAGAAGATAAACAACATGCCCTGTGTAGTTGACATCCAGAAACCCATCAATCCTGTGAGTATAGGTACCTAGTCAGTACTGCTATTTTATAATTTTAAATCAAACACAGAGTAACGGCACTGAAGGAAAAAAACCCAAAAAGCATAGCTGCACAACTAATTATTGCTGGTTGCAGCTGACTGTGACAAGCAGGCTGTGAGACAATCGTTCTCTTTTAATTGAATAGTCAGAGCAACAAGGCTGAAATATTCTTATATTTAAAAAGTATCAGCGATCAAACACCACCTGCTGCTCTCACATTGTATCCACATGTGTGCTGAGCACGCACAAGGGCTGTCACTTTGAATTACTTACTAGGTCTGAACATCTTTATACACAAAGTACTCAACAAGCAAAAGGGGTGCCAGATCCCTGTGTTTCAGAAATCACCAGGCTGATTTTTTCAGAAGTAGTTACACCGAACTCTGAAGGCTTCTTCACACTTTCTCAGCCATTGCACGTACAAATGCAAACATCAATTCTGCTTTCCGTATGCACATACAAAAATTATTCAAGTGGCCACATCAGTATCAGTCACATAAAATCTGTACCAGAAATTTCAAAGATATTTGACTAAAGTAAGTTCTTAACATTTCCTCATTAGATTAAGTTTAGCTGCAAAGATGCAGCTGCTTCATTTTCTAGAAGTTAGTCAGGGGTTCAATTCACTGTATGTAGAGGTCTGCACAAAGAGACCACTCCAAAAGCTCATGTTCTGCAGAACCCAAATCCAAATAACATCCTTTCCCCTTTTGTGCAGCACACATCTTTGTTTTTAATCTCAGTGAAAAACTGAATTTGTACAACTGTTCTCCAGTTTGTGTAGAAAAGAGAACAAATGTTAAGATTTATTTTTGTTTGAAAGTGGTCAGCAGGGAGCCAGAAGAATGTCCTTCAGCAAGTAAAATATTCTCTTGGGATTCACAACTGGATTTATTGGTATTTTTGGAGGAAGACAGCCATATCAGACAAGGGACATAGCAACTATTACTTCCTTTCAGTTAATCATGTCTTAAATGCTTTGAAGGGAAAAGATGTTAAGTACAAACATCAGCCTTTCTATTACTTAGTGCTGACCTGGTGGCTTCCACAGCAGAGGTTGTAAGACCCCAGTTTTCAAACATGGAGTATAAAAAGCTGCAAGTATGATCTGTCCTCTCTGGCCTGCATCCCCTCTGCTCCCCAGTGAGCTAATTACTTCTGCAAATAAGCAATGTCTTCTCTGCAAATGAGGGGCCTGCTGATATCACTGTCCATTGATGGGTTCAATGGAAACACATTCTCCTCTGCAGTACTGGGGACATCTTTGGTGGCTCCCTATTTCATATCTTAGATCTCTTTTCCTAAAAAACTGACCCCTTGGTGGTAGAAGAAACCTTTTGGTATGTGATGGAAGTTCAAAATTCAAATAATGTAACTGGATGCTGCCTTCTAATTATAGATTAAACAGAACAAAACCTTCAAGATAACTGCAAGCTTCAGTAATGTAGAAAAGTGGCATCAGGTCAAGACACACTGTTAAGAAAGTACTTGACAGATGAAAATTAATGTCCACAGTAAGCCTACCTCAGAAGGGGTAGGTTTGAGTTGAATTATTAAGTACAGGAAAAATACCAGTAGGAACTATCTTCAGATCTTTCCCAAGGATAAAAAACCCAGCTGGATCAGATGGACTCCTGCAAGTCACTGCATTGTAATGACCATGCATAAAGTTGCCAAACTTTATAAAAATTAAGCTTATCCAGTGGGATCCTACATATTTTCAAATACGACTTGAATTTAAATCTCTCAGACCTGAAAACAAAGACATCACCAACAAAAGAAGAGCTTGAAAGCTAAAATGTGTACCACAAGAGTACATAGTACTGCAAATTATTTGGTAAAAATTCTGTCAAATGTTCTCCCAACCTCCCCTGAGGCTAGCAACCACCTCTCACAAATACTCTGGTTCAATCAGAGAAGTAAGTTGGAATAATTATTTTTCTCCTGAATTAAGGATCTAACCCCATGAGCTGGAAGTTGCCTGTCAGCAGCCACAGGTTTTACCAGACCTGGGAGGTGCAGAAGGGTAGACACCTGAACAGGCTACTGCACAGCCAACATGCCCTTTTTATGCTGTTTTTCACTGCTAAGGACCATGTGCAGTACATAAGGTCACTGTGGGAGGTTTATCTTTCACTGACTTATCTTTCTCAGAAGGTATTCTTTGGCAAGGGTGTGGATATTTTCAGTAAATCAGGAGTGTATTATAAAATAGAAAAGCAGTATCCAGGCATCTCTTGGATACTCCTATTTGCTATTCCCAACCTCAGCACAAGCTTTCATACAAGGGGAAAAAAGGTGATGGCCATTATACTTTTTCAAGGCAGGGAAAAAAGCCAGCAAAAAGAAATTATTTTAATAGGCTTATTTTGCTACTGCCAAATCTCAAAGCATCTGATAAAAGCAAGCAGACTCTCTCCCAGCAAATACCAGGAAAGTAAGAATCAGAAACAGAAGATTGCTCTTTCCTATCTCATCTTTTATAGATCTTGCTTTATATCTGGGAAAGCTGGGTCAGACTCCAACAACAGGGCACTGAGGTCACTATCCCCTCTCAATTATCTTTTTTTTTCTCTTTCCCCTCATCCCTTCCAACCAAGATACTTTCTTTAAACTGCTTTGACCAGCTGACAAACACAGATGTGTCATGAGGCAGCCAGGAGTGTTCAGGGAGAGGAAAGAATAAAAACCTATAAACCAAGCACCTGTGGCCACAGGACACAAAAGGAAAAGTTATATTCAATATTTTACATTTGACATGTATTTATTCTTTAAAATTAAATTTGAAATTTTTTTAACTTCCTGTCCTAGAAACTTAAGACAAACTGCAGCATATGAAAGCAGACCAAGGCTGGAAAAAAGTTATATTCAATATTTTACATTTGACATGTATTTTTTCTTTAAAATTAAATTTGAAATCTTTTTAACTTCCTGTCCTAGCAACTTAGACAAGCTGCAGCATAAGAAAGCAGACCAAGGTTGCTACCTGAACTTTGGCTATTTGAGGTTGCAGAAACAGAGGATCTTGCTAAAACCTGTGATATTTAGCCTCTTTATATTGATGATGCTTCTTTTCTTCTCTGACTCCTTGGCAATGAGTATGCTGGCTACTGTTCACAATGGCCACATAGTCCCTCCTCCACTGTCCTTCACCTTGGCACTTGACTTCCCCTTTGCTTCTTTGAAACGACTGTGCAAGGAGGGACTGAGACAAAACTTCTTTGTGTTTAGTAACACCATGCAGTTCCTGAATTTTACCTTTACAGTGTCTCTTTTATTGCTCTGAATCCAGATATTGGTGACTCTTGTTTGCCCAGTTGCACACCTGTGGCTCCACTGTCCTTCACCTTGGCACTTGACTTCCCCTTTGCTTCTTTGAAACAACTGTGCAAGGAGGGACAGAGACAAAACTTCTCTGTGTTTAGTAACACCATGCAGTTCCTGCAATTTTACCCTTTCAGTGTCTCTTTTATTGCCCTGAATCCAGATATTGGTGACTCTGGCTTGCCCAGTTGCACACCTGTGACACCTTTGTGCCTGTCACACTGCCTGCCTGGCTCTTGCCAGGGTGTTACCCCCGTGGGAACCTTCCCCATGCAGATCCCACCTACACCCTGACCTTGGAAGCCCCTTAGAAGGATATGAGATGAGGCAAGAAGTAATCCTGAAGATACAGTCCCAACCTTAACAAGTGACACAATGCATGGGACAATGTGTCTTAGCGTAACCACCCGTGCTCAGAGAACACAAAGTGCAGAACAGCCCTGCTGTTTCCAAAAAATTGTGCTTGCTTGAATGAGAAACAGCCAGGACTCTGACTATAGAACTAATCATTAAAATGTGAGCTATCACATAATGCGAGCTAACTGTTCTATAGTTCTATCACATGTGCTACATGTCAGAGGGGAACATTTCAACAGGAGAAGAGAGGGAGATTTGCAGAGCCTCTATTCACCTTAACCTCTTCTTTCTACAATGCATTGCACTCTCTAGCTCTTGATTTTGGCCTAAGAAGGATAAATTTACAGAATTTGCAGAATAGTCTGAGTTGGAAGGGACCCAGAAGGATCATTGAATCCAGCTATTAAGTGGGTGGCCCATATGGTGATCGAACCCCTGACCTTAGCATTATTAGCCCTGTCCTCTGACTAACTGAGCCAATATCAGATTATCCTACCAACATAAGGAAAACATAAAAACAGAGGAAAAACTAATGGAGTACAAGAATAAGCTCTTACTTTACTCTCACATACTATTCCTCACTCCTCTCCCATTCTGCTCCATCCTTCCAGCACTTAAGTCCTTCCTTTCCTTACCCCCATTGTTTGCTACATTTATTACATGCCAAGTCTTATCTTTATCCCTTTCACTCCTAATTTGAATAGTTAAAAGCATTGATATGTCATGTTGAAATTAATGCTTTAAATAAGACAAAGAGAACCACCATGGATGCCTGATGTAAGTTTCTGAAAGGTAATTAAGTCAACCTACCATGTTTTGAACACTGGTAAAAGTCCTCTTATATAAAAAAAAAGCACTGTTTGATAGAGCCACAGCAGAACAGGGTGGTAATAAGGCCTTAAAGCATTTTATGGCACATTTTATCAATATTCACACTTCTGGCCATCATTTCTCACATATTTCTCTTCTCTGCACATAATACTCACTCTTCCCAGTTCTTTATCTTCAAGTGCCAGCACCCCGGTGCTTTCTGTAAAGAGTTTTACTTTGACAACAGGCCGAGGGTGAGTAGTGGTGAAATCCCCTTGGGTTCCCCATCTGCAATGAAAAACCAACAAAATTGAACAGGGGCTGAGTACAGGCCTGAGAGTGATAGGACTTTTAATCTTTTTGTAGAATATTTATCAATGCACTCTTAGAACTTAATTTTCAAGCTTTTGGAGGAGCAGGGTGGGAAAGAAAAGGGAGGTACATTTTTGAACATCCAAGATCAAATATATACATAGAAAAAATGGCTTTTCTCTATGATAAAACAAATCAGGGCTTTTCTGTATGACTTTTGTCATAAAATATCAATCAAAAAAATTTTAATGGCAAAACAGAAATAAAAGAAATTATATCTCCATAGAGAAAAATAACCAAGCAAGAAGGCAAATAAAGCAAGATCTATTTTCTATGAAACATGTTCACTATCTTCTGCACACCAGTCAAATTAATTTAGCAAAGAACCATGTTGTAATTCACTTCAGGCAACTGCATCATGAATACATTAGGAGACTTAGGCAGAGAAAATTATATATTTTAAATTACATATATTTTACAACTAAGAATGTAGGAAAAACAGAAACACTAATGCAAATAATAGGAAAAAAATATTATCAAAGTGAATATAGCTCTGCAAAACAATTACTACCAGTAGGTTCCATGCTTTTGAGAACCTTAATTAGGCAGACAGATTTCTACTCGTTAATCTCTTATCTTAGTTAAGACACTTGGTTTGCCAGCCTTCCCCCCTCCTCCCTGTGTGCCAGTGACACAAAAACCAAAAGTTAAATAAACTAGGTTGCAACTTCTTCAATTATCTATTCCATTATCCTGGACAGGCACATGGAGCTCATTGCATTAACCGAGTAAACTGATTGTGATTATGCTATTAGGTACAAACAAAATGCAAAAAGTAAGCACAGCTCCAGTTTCTCCTGCTTCTGTCCATTGTGTGAGATATTACAATTATCAGAAACCAATAAAATAAACAGATGACCTTAAGAGTATGCTCTATAAATTGATGCATTACACAAGCCAAAATCTTAGACCCCCATTTAGAAAAAGCAATAATTTTCATTTACTTTCAAGAATACACAATCTCTCCAGTATTGCAATGTGAACATAGAATAGCAATTGTTCAGCAAAGGGATCTATTAATCAAAAGAAAATGCTTCAATTAGCATGAGTTACAAACTTCAAGACCAAGTCTAGAAAGTAATATGCAATCAAAACCAAAAAGCTTTAAGGAAGCAGCAGTTCTGTATAAACCAGTCCTACAGGTGGCTGAACATGCCTGATTCCGCAAGTGAGGTTCACCACAAATTAACTGAATCTGCACTAAATTCTTTGCTGTAAGTTAGGTAGATGCTTAATCTGTCTGTGGTGTGCACAGCTTTAGCCTCAGCAAAGTGGTAATAGAAATAGAAACTTCCTAAGTGAGAGAAAACCTGTTTATGATCTGATGATAGATGCTGTGACTTCAGAATAAGACAATGCCTAGCACTACTGCTTTTCCCAGTGGTGGTGCCAGGGGTAGGTTTTGTCACAATACAGAAATGAAATTTCCAAGGAGAAAGCACCTTTATAAAAGATGAGGTAGTTGTATTTTTAGTTTAGCCTCATGATCCCAGTATTCAGGAAGCACGCTGCCTTGAATTTGGAAATCTAATCTAAGCACTTTGATAGCTGCACCCTCTCTCTCAGTTGTCAGGTTTCTTTGTCCCTCAGCTTCCAGAGGCATTAAACTGTGCATGCCATATTGGACAGCACCACACAAAAAAACCCCAAGAGAGACTCCCATTAAAATAACAAAACAAACCCAAACCCTCTCTACAAAAGTCTAGTGTCACATCAATTCATACAAAAGAGAAGAGAAAGAAGAGGTCATGCTGACTGAAGGGAACAGACACAGCCCATTCAATGAAGAGAACACCACCTGCAGCAACTCAGCTGCTTCAAGCTGAGCAGAAGGTGTGTGCTTCAGCATTTGCTGGGGTTTGAGCAGCCTAGCATCAAGTGTAAAGGATTTCCTGGAAAGTGGTGCAGTTTTCTTTGGAGACCCAGGCTCCATCTCTGTAGGACACAGCCGGCAGGGATGGGGCTCACATGAGCCTTGCCCAGGGAGCTGAAAGAATTTGCTCCTTCTCCAGTTTAGAGACATAGTGAGAGACTGATGAGAATGGGAGTAACATGGCTTTTAAAAGCTAAGCTGCTACATATAGGTCAGACAAATCAATGCCAAGTTTGGGTTCGCACCCTGATATTTTTCCTGCAGAAAACACAGTACTTCCCAGAAAATAAAATTTTTCTGAAACACAGATATCGAAGTCAACCACCATACAAAAGATTGTTCCCATTATTCACAAGACAAAAACTCTAAAATTGTTTATTGAACTACTTTCCATTTTAAATAGGAACTAACAATGCGGTCTCCAGAATCTGAATGCTCAATAAAAAAACGCTGCTTTTCTTTATATTTTAACTTTCAACATCAATAACTGAAATGTTTTCTGCACGAAAAATCTTACAGCTGACTCTTACTTTTCATACAGGTAAACCTGTAGGTTGAAACCTGGCTTTCTGTGAAAACAGAAGCAATTCCTTTGTGCCATTTTGATCTTGAGTCAAAGTATATAGTGGCAAGGTAACCTGTAGGTTGAAACCTGGCTTTCTGTGAAAACAGAAGCAATTCCTTTGTGCCATTTTGATCTTGTTTGAGTCAAAGTATATAGTGGCAAGGAGACCCCCAGCCAGGGAACAATGAGCTTTGACTCCATGATTGCAAAAGGCTGAACAAACACTTTATTAAGCTACACTAATTTATACTAAACACTATACTGCACTGTACTAATACTAAACTAACAAAAAAACCCATGACCCTTTCAGACAGTCATGACACAGCTCTGACCTAACTGGTCAATCAATCCAAAACACCCATCACCAGTGTCCAGTTAAGAAACTACCTATTGGTAAACAATCTCCATAAGACATTCCACATGTGCCAAACAACAGATGCAGCAAGTAGAGATAAGAATTGTTTTTCTTCTTTGTCGGAGCTTTCTCACAGCCTTCCCCAGGATTTTTCCTGGGAATGTTGTGCCTGCTGCTCTCTGTGAAGAGTGCTGTGGCCACAAAAGCATATTGCAGATAATTTATTTACAGCTTGCTCTGCTGTAGAGCTCCTGAAGGAAGGATGGAAGAAAGATGAATTAATTCGCTTGATCTTTCATCCTATCTTATGAAATTGTTATTTACAAACATTGTCCCTTTAGTAAATCTTAACTACAAAGAAAAATGCAATGCTTCATGTTTGTTTATGGTTTAACTGGCAAATGTATATGTAGGCAAATGATGGAAACAAAAAAACCAACCGCCTCCACACCTTTGGAGGAGCCATTGATTTCTGAGAACTGGTCCAATGATTCTTGTTAATGTGAACAATTTTGGTGCTGAAAGCGTTCAGATGGGAAGTGCAAAATTTTAGACAAAACAAGTATGGATCTCATGCAATATTTACATTAAATAACTCCCATTATAGCATTGTTGTTAGTTTGTTTAAATCTTGCTAGATAAACTGTTGAAAGTAACAATAATTTCAATACTAACTGCTGCAGTGAGCTCACAGCACCGTTAGCTGCAGCCCATGCAGCACACTGGATACCTCTAAAACTACCAACTTTAAGTCTTAAAAAAACCCCTAATTCTGCCTCTTCAGGCTCTCATTTCACCACATAATTTTCCTCTGTTTAAATAATTTTTCTGCTTTTACCTACTCATTCTCTTTACTATAGAAACTGCAGTGATTTGATGTTTGTTCATCTTTAACCACGAGCCACAGTCTTTTCACCATATTTCTCTGCTGCTGTCACAGGTACGTGGGTTGATACAGTAATTAGAGACAAAATATATTGCCAAAGTCTATTTCCCTTCACTGCAAAAGTACCTACTGCCAGCAAGAAGGTGAATGTTTATTTCAGCTGAAGATTTATCACTGTGTCACAGAAACCCCTCTAAGGGAATTTATTCTTCTACTTCAGTTTAGAACACATTTCATACAGTGGAAACAGCAGCCTCAGGTTTTCCATTTAACTCATGCTCTCTGTTAGTCAAAACTTTTTTTTATGAGATCATGGGAGTGAATGTAATAAAATTTATTATTCTAAACAAAGATCTAGAAATTTATTTTAGCCCTATTTATTGGAATATTTTATTTCTGATAAAATACCAACTCTACAGAATTTTTACACCATTTTTTGTCCTCAGGAATATGGAAATCTCATTTTTGAAACAAGGATTGGTCTCCTTGATGCCATTTTTTGCATCTTTTTGGGTTTAAGTCTTCTACATAACCTCAACGTGCTTCTTAATTATTAATTAAATTACTTTAAGAGGCCTTCTGGAAGAGTTTTCTTATTTGCTATCCAAACAGGTATGTGGACAGAGCTGGAATGATTAGGAAGACCCACCCAAGCCAGTTTGTTAAGCATCTTACTGCTCCACAGCAGTAAGAGATTTACCATCTCTTCATCTTTGCACATCTTGGAGCTGGACTGGAAATAGTATGTTGAGGCTTCTGCAAGATATTTGTGTTTCAACTATGTCAAAAACCTTTACCACCTCTGCTGTTTCTACTTTGTCTAGAAACAAGCTTTAACTGCATAAAAACAGGTATCTATAACCCTCAGTTTAGAAATCACACTCACAGTGCAAGTTACAGGAAATACCAGGAAACTAAAGGACAGAGAAGGCTCAGCACCCCCTGACACATCCAAGTGCACTGATACACTGAAGCGCTTCAAATCCGGGTCTGAAAAACCTTCTGTTGTTAGTGAAGGATTGCGTGAGCGTGGAATTTATGAAGTGTAGCATATTACTATGTCCAACTGCAGAGATACAGAGAGAGAAAATGTGAGACCGCGAGCCAGGCGCTGTACCAGCAGTGCAAGTCACCCCACAGCAATGTGACAATAAATCTATAATATGACGAGGGGGCTCCACTCACACAAATAAAAATAGAGTTAAATCCATACTTATCTGATTTTGGTGTTTTTACT